ATTATTATTATATTTCGTATTTAATTTATTTTACATAATAATATTTATTTAGATGTAAAAGAAATTTTCTATTCTATCACAAACTTCTTCAATTAAATAATATATCACCGTTGATGTCAGTTTTTTCGTCCACATCTTTTTTTTTTTTTCTAAAGATATTGTTCTCCTATCTTTTTCGTCTATAAATTGAGAATTTTTCTGATGTTATTTTTTTTTTCAAATATCAATATTTTTTATTTATCAGCTATTAAATTTATATTATTTTTAATATTATTTTATTTTTAATTAAATTTAATATACATTTAACGATTAATAAATAAAAAAATACCGGTGTTTTTCTTAAAAAAAAAAAAAAAACACTAGAGAAAGTGATAAATTTTCCGGGCCATTTTCCAAGTCCATTCAAAATCCTCGAACGATTCCTGACTTCAAATAAACACTCGTCTATTCTCCACATCACAGGCCACGTGCATATATCGGACCCACGCGCATAACCGGGTCCTACAAAAGATCAACGGTCCAGATGTATCTAGATGCACGTGGGCCGCACCTTAAACGTTCCCAATGACAAAATGACACGAAATACACGCTTCACAGTTACGTGTTCGCTCTATCCACTAACCCACTACCTGAAAACGACACATAACTCTCCACCCAGTAGTTGCCCGCCACGTTTAATAAAGCGCAAGCGAGTACGCAAACCAGTAGACAATCATTTTTTAATACTTAACCGCCTCTCTCTCTCTCTGTGCGTTGCTGTGTCTGAACGGCAAGAATTGCCGGTCCTTTCATCCTTCTCTTATTTTATTAATAATTTGTAAAAATTCTAAAATAAATAAAACAAAATTTTAAAAAATCAATAATATAATTGATTATTCGAATTCCGAAAGGAAAAGGAGAAACATATGGGTCGGTAATAAATGAAATGATTGAATGAATGCTATATTAAAGTCTCAATCGAACTGAAAATTTTGTTGTTTTTATTTATTTTTCTTTTCTTGTCCGATTTAACCGCTTCTTCTTTCGGGCGATCCCCGAATTTCGGAGTTTCACTGGTTTTGGATTTTTTTGGAAATCGGCGTTGATAGGGGAGGGAATATCTGAAAATCAAAATCCAAAAACCTCTCGGTTCTTCCAATGATGCACCGTTTCGTTGACAATGTTCTTGCTGTTACCAAAGAGTGAGCCCTCTTCCTTTTTCTTCTTCTTCTTCAGCTTCATATGTCTATATTATATATATACACGCACACACATATATGTATGGATGTCTAAACATATTTATGCTTGCATATTTGAAAATATTGATGATATGCGAGGTATTGTGGGCATTAGGGAGTTTTTCGATGTTTTGAGATGATTTCAGGTTGAAAATTGATGTTTTTTATTTTTTATTTTTATTTTGGTGTTTGTGGTTAGAGTTGATCGTCGGAATTAGTTCGGATTGATTCGTGATAGGAATTTCGTCCGGGATTTTATTATTTTATTTTGATTTGGTTTGATTTGATGAGCGAGAGAGATCGGAAGCTAAGGCTGTGACGATGAAACACGAGAATGCTTAAAAGTTTGAATTTCGTTCGTGTTTACTTGGATTGATTTGCTATAGCGATTACGTCAATTTTTTTTTTCTTTTTGGGTTGAATTTGATAAAGTTTGAATAGTAGCCTGGGAATGTAATTATTTGGACCTATGTGGTTATTTTATGTTTTTTTGGGCTTAAATTCTCTTTATGGTCAAGTAATCAGTGCAAGCTTTAGAATTTACTAGATTTACGAGGATTTAAGTTACCGGAAAGATAATAAGAGAGGAAAAAGTTTGATTACGTTATCTAAATGTAAGTGTTCCTAATTAATTACTCGTTAGTTATTTAAGTGCTCAAGCAAGGTTGCATTTTTGGTTAGTTTTGGCCTGGTGTTTTAGCTTAGGAGATTGATGATTATGAGAAATGGATTTTCCAAAAGCTTGGTCATTGTTTGTTACTTTGAATGCACTTTCAGTTGAAGCTTTGAGATTGATGATTACAAAAGTAGAAATATGTACTGTGGGATCTGCATACAAGCATTATTGACTCCTCTTTTATTCTGTATCGCCAATAAAATTTCTTGGGCTGATGGGATTGTACCAGCTATAGCTCTTTTATCTGTCAAAGTTAAATGTTTATACTGAATTGTTCCAATACGAGTGCACTTTGGGACTATCGGGTACATGTTTCAACATTCCGCGTGATCATGGATGAACATTTGCTTTTGTTTTGGTCTTTAGTGCAGGTCGGTGAAGACATTTACTTATGAGTCTCTGCACAACATTGCAAGATTGATTAATGGAGTGTCGGCACTTCTGTTGACCCTTTTACCGGGGAAGGGTTTGATCCTCGAAGGCATTCATGGCTGGGAGCTTAGACCGACCTTTCGCGGCCCTCGATTTCCACGCTGGATGGAAAAGTAAGTTTTGGCGATTTGGTCATAAGTTCTCTGAAACTGCTCCTTGCCAAGCATCCTTGCTGATTGTTGGTCATAATTTTGCATAGATTGTACTTTTTTAGGTCAAATATTTCAGAGAAAATGTAAGGAGAACAACAATGTCATGGAAAATGATTAAAATATCATGAAACTCTCTTTCCCGTTTTGTCACTGTCCTCTCTGCGACTAAGTAAAAATATTTATATATCATCGACAATATTTACCTGTTCTTATTTGCAAAAGATTAAAGTAAAAGAGAAGAGATCAGTACTTACCTTACCTAAAAGGTAGTCGTTAGTGTTATGAATTTCGCGTTCATGTAATTTCAACTAGAAAAGCATTGTCTGAGATGCGAAAACAATAAATGTAGTGAATCTGCTTGAATTAACCTACAAGTCAATTTGAGTAATGCTTCTTTGCATTACTAGAAAACATGTGATTTGCTCATTAGATTTGACTATTGGATAAACGTTTGGAGTACTGGTAGGTAACTCTGTTAGTTGAGGACAGAGATCTCCATGCCACTCCTCAGTAGCATCCTTTAGCCTCATCTGTGTGGAAATTCTAATATTTATTTTTGTGGTTTCTGCTTCTTAGAGGGAGAACGGACCGTGGACTCCCCATTTAAAAACTTTCCAGCACTTTCTGTTCAGAGTAACTATTTGCAGTTGCCTTGATAGTCATGCCTCACTTTACATGCTTTATCTAATAACCAGATGTAAACTGGTGGTGATACTTGTATACTTTTCGTGGTCAAAAACTGTTTTGGGTTATACTAGTTGGAGGAAAATAGTTGGATGTTAATGAGGAGGAAAATGTTGAAAACTAATCTTGTGATACTGGATTGCATGTCCACTATATTAAATTTGGTTATGTTCATGTATCACAAATTATGGTTTAGGATAAGGATAATCTTTTTTAATAGAAATGCCCATTGAAATTGAGACGAAACACAAATGAGATGACGTTTAGTTAAGCTGTGTGTGTTGTATGCAAGCTACTCAAAACTTTCAATTTATATTTATTTCATGGCCCTCCCATTTGACAGCTGCTTATTACAACCAAGAATGATATCATTCTATTAACATTTCTCTGGAGTCAGCACATTGTTGTCTTCTCTTGTTTCTTATATGACTCAATATAACTTTGTTTTCTGTGATTTATTGTGTACATATCCTAGTAAAAGAAAATGTTTTTTATTTATTTCTGCAGAAAGTTTCTTTGCATTATTTTTGACATGTTCCATTCTTCCTTGATGTACAGCGGAGTGTCCTCTTTCAATAATTTCATTCATGAGCTTTCGGTGGATTCTGATACTTCGAGCTCGGACTACTCATCTGGAGAAGAAGATAATGATGCTGGTATATATCCTGTATCTCCATCAACGCATAGTTCCCGAGCTTCTAGATCTAGTACATCTGCGAAGTATGATAGGCGTCGAATTGGATGGATTGGATATTTATTCTTATGGATTTTGTTTCCTATAAAATTCATGCTTGGGATTCCGTATCGTGCTTTCCGGTATTCTTGTTGTGGGTCACAATCCTACTCCCCTCCAGTAAGCAATCATTCAACAAATGTATCTTCTATTAAGAGAGTACAATCCCTTATGGATCATATTGTTCACCGCACAACTGACAGGAGACGCGGAGTTGTTGAGGTATCTTCCAAGTTTACATTATCAAACTTGTTTTTTTATTATTGTCATCTGTGCCCCTTGAACTTTGTGTCATTCCCACTTTGCTCTGTGAACTTCAAAATCTCCCACTTTGCTGCTTGAAGTTTAAATTATTGCCTTTTTATGCCATTTATTAAAATTTCTATTAAAAATAAACAGGAAAAAGGGGTTAGTGCGGTCAAACAGTCTTTTCGTTAGAATTTTCGTGAAAGCCAAATAGAAAAGAACACACGATCACACTTAACCGTTTATTTTTCCCGTCTGATTTTAACATAAATTCTGACAAAGGGGGCAAAGTGGTACTAATTTAAAATTTAGGAGGCAAAGCGAGAGTTTTTAAAGTTCAGGGCAACTGGGAATGACCATAAATTGTAGGGAGTATTTATGATTATTTTTTAGTTAATGTTTTTCCCTTTTGAATTTTGTTATGAGAGAATAAGGGATTGCATATTTTTATTGGTGTTTATAATTGTGTGGTCTATAGGATCTTCATCTAGCAATAGAGATCTCTATAGAAGCGATATTTGATGTTGTGCACAAGGTAGCACATTTTCTTCTCTCACCATCAAAGGCTTTCAGATTACTATTTTGGTGGTATTCCTCACACGACAGTGTTGGTAAAGAAAATGATGGAAGTCCTTCAGAAGCTTCTGTTTCCACTGCTACGCTTGGAGAAAATGATCCATGTCCTACAGAAAGGACTACCACTTTTCATGACTCTCTGAATACAGATGCTAGGACTTGTCAGGATGTCATAACAGAGCTAGGGTAATGAGCTCAAAACTGTTTTTCATTTTTGAGCCATTGTTGATTGTTCCTGTAGTTATTTGCCTATTGAGGTTATTTCTTTACTTGTTCACCTATCTTTAGGTATCCATATGAAGCGATTCGTGTGATCACCAATGATGGTTATGTTCTCCTTTTGGAAAGAATTCCCAGGTATAGTCTCTTCCTCTAGACAAGTTTGAATTTTGTTTAAATTTTATGTTTACTGTATCACATGTGATTCTGCAGACGCGACTCACGGAAAGCTGTTTATCTACAACATGGGATTTTGGATTCATCTATGGGGTAAGTCGTTACTTATTTGCATTCCTAGCATGAATAGCACAACCTAGGTGTAGGTGATTTTGGATTCATCTTTGGGGTAAGTCGTTACTTATTTGCATTCCTAGCATGAAATATCATAACCTAGGTGTAGGTGATTTTGGATTCATCTATGAGGTAAGTCCTTACTTATTTGCATTCCTAGCATGAAATATCATAACCTAAGTGTAGGTGATTTTGGATTCATCTATGAGGTAAGTCCTTACTTATTTGCATTCCTAGCATGAATAGCATAACCTACGTGTAGGTGAAAAGGTGATGGTGGCCTGGTATTGACTTAAGTCTTATTTGGGTGCTGGCAAAAGCTCTTGTACCCGGACAGCTGAAGCATCACCAACTTCTTTGTTGTTAAAATAATATTACAATATAGTACAAGAAAGTCTCCACTTTATTCCATTTGAACGAGAGAGTATCTATTGACTTCCCAAAATTTTTGGCTAGGTGTTGTGGTGGAAGTTTGGAAGAAAACCTTCTCCCTGTCTCTTGTTGACCCAACCAAAACTTTTAGATTATCAGATAGATCTGGGTAAACCTACCTATCAAAAGACTGTTGGCCCTGATGCCTTATTATCTGCTGTCTCCAAGCAAAGCTTTAAAAGATGTTTCGTGAGTGCTCTGCTCCTCACGTTGGTTTAGAGATCTTTTCGGAGGGCATTGTTTTGCCCTTTAATACTTTTCTTCATAATCTATTCCATTTCTGTGCATTCATCATGGAGAAATCTCCTCATTTTTAACATTCTTACATTAATCCCTTTGAACAGATCTTAGTCACTATTCATGTCAATATTTTTTAAATTCTTTGATTATCATTAGAAGTATATTGCAATCATCATATGCTTACTTTCTAAATCCTAATCTGTTAATATATTGGTCCAGTTGGGTGTCCAATGGGGTTGTTGGTTCACCGGCTTTTGCAGCATTTGATCAAGGTTTGTTGTTTTCGGCTTGAAGATATTTCCATTTTATGCAATGAAATGCGGAAATTTAGTTATGCTAGTGCCTATATTTTGCAGGATATGATGTTTTCCTTGGGAACTTTCGTGGTTTAGTTTCTAGGGAGCATATTGACAAAAATATATCCTTGCGACAGTAAGTATACGAGTCCTGTTGTGTCTGTTTAATGGTCCTTTCCGGTCTTTGAATTTGCAGTGTGTCCATAATTTTTGACACCCAGAATACGATCATCTGTTACAATCCAATAGCTAAGTGAGCAATTTATATAGGTACTGGCGATATTCCATCAATGAGCACGGGACTGAGGATATTCCTGCATTAATTGAGAAGATTCACGAAGTTAAAACATTTGAATTGAAGCTTAGTCAACCAGATACTGAGGAAGAAACAAGTGGTGATCAGCCATACAAGGTTTGTGCAGTATGTCATAGTTTGGGAGGCGCAGCCATGCTGATGTACGTTGTAACACAAAGGATTCAGGAAAAGCCACATAGACTCTCAAGATTGGTCTTGTTGTCACCTGCCGGTTTCCATGATGATTCCACCCTAGTATTCACAGTGGTGGAGCGTCTGTTTCTTATTTTGGCTCCTCTTTTGGAACCCCTTTTTCCTGGCTTATACATACCAACCAGGTTTTGCCGTATGCTCCTGAACAAGTTGGCACGGGACTTCCATACTTACCCTGCTGTTGGAGGACTAGTTCAAACGTTAATGAGTTATGTCGTTGGCGGCGATAGCTCAAATTGGGTTGGAGTCTTAGGCTTGCCACATTACAATATGAATGATATGCCGGGAGTATCATTTCACGTGGCTCTACATCTTGCACAGATGAAGCGTTCAGGACGATTCAGAATGTATGATTATGGCAGTGCGTCTGCTAATATGGAGATATATGGATCTCTGGAACCATTAGACGTCGGTGAGTACTACGAGTTCATTGACATCCCGGTTGATCTGGTTGCTGGACGGAAGGACAAGGTGATCCGTCCATCTATGGTGAGGAAGCACTACAAGTTGATGAAGGAATCAGGGGTGGATGTATCATACAACGAATTTGAGTATGCCCATTTGGATTTCACATTCTCCCACCGTGAAGAACTCTTGGCATACGTCATGTCCCGCTTGATGCTTGTGGAACCTACGCCTGTGCTGAAACCTTGTCAGAAGAAAGCTCCGAGGTTGAAGAGAAAAGGACAGAAGGTTGAAGAAACGGCAACAGGCTACTAGTTTGATGAAAATTTCGCCTGTGCACTTCCTACTTTTTTTGCTTCAGGATTTGGCATGCGCGTTGTAGTTCAGATACGGATTGCTATTGTAGATTGAATACGCCCATAACTAGACTCAGCGTCACTTGTATAAAATGCGGCCGCCTCCCACCATCGTGGGTCATACCAAATTGTTTGTCCAGTGCTCAAATTTATATACACAACACGGTTTGTAATTGTAGTTGGTTTATGAAATCTGATCTATTGTTGTGTGACCTGTAACACACTTGATTGGATAATGCTTTTGCAACCCTTCATTATATTTGTTGTTGAGACCTTCGTTATATTGGTTGTTGAGAGGTTTCCGTGGTTGAATAGAAAAGGACATAAGGTTGAAGAAACGATTACATGTTATTAGTTTGATGAAAATTTTGCCTGTGCACTTCCACCTAATTTTTTGCTTCAGGATTTGGCATGAGCGTTATAGTTCAGATACGGATTGCTGTTGTAACTTGAATATGCCCATAACTATACTCACGGTGTTAGTCTTATAAAATACTGCCGCCACTTTTCTTCCCACCAGTTTTTCATGGGTTATACCAAACTTTTTGTGTACACAGATTTTGTATGTGTAGTTGGTTTATGAAATCTATTGTTTGTAACCTGTAACACGTGCATAGGATATTGCGTTTGAAATCCTTCATTATCTAAGTTGTTGAGAGCTTTCCTGTTGATTTACTCTGTTTCTTTGCTTTGTTGAGAATCTCTCTCTCTCTCTCTCTTATTTTTTTTTTATTGCTCATATATTTTTTTTTATTGCTTATAAATGATTTGGGTTTAACTCTGCATATGAGTAACTATCGTACGTGTTTTTGTCTGTTTATTTATTTAGTTCTCGGGTGAAAGTACCTCGGGTTGCAATGTTGATTATAACACGACAAACGACATGAAACCCACACGAAGATATTGGGTGGTTTTTTTTCCATCAAAAAGCATCTCAAAGGCGGCGGAAAAACAACATTAAGGGGGTGTTTGGTATGCAGTAATCTTAAGGATGTGAATGAGAATCCGCAATATTACCATACAAGAATTATAATTTTTAAATTCTCAGAAAAGTGATTATCATGGGATTCACTTTCCCTCATTTTAAGGTAATTTGAATACCTAGAGGTGTCAAATGGGCCGGGCCGTCTATGGACAGCCCGGCCCAGCCCGTAATAGTGCCTGATTCGGCACGGCCTGGTTCGTTATTGTTACGGGCCGTGCCAGCACGGCACGTGTAATGGACTAGGGCTGGGCTTCAACTTCTCAGCCCGTGGCCCAAGCACGTGGAGGCCCGCGGCACGACCCTTATTTGGCCCGGCCCAAGCCCTGATTCGGCCCGGGTCAGGCCCGCGAAACGGCCCACGAAGAAGCCCATTTCATTTGGTCCAGGGGGCCATTCGCAGGCCTAACGTTCGGCACGTGACGGGCCTCCCGTTTTGCCCGTCACGTGCCTCCCGTTTGGCATGTGATGGGCCAAATGGGAGGCCCGTCATGTGCCGCACGTTGGGCCCAACGGAAAAAAACTGAATTTCAACCCTAAAATCTCCTATAAATACCTCTTAATTCCACCATAAATTCCACACAATAATTCACTCTCATCTTCTCATCTCACTCTCATTCTATCTCTCAACTTGTCTCTTTGATTTTGATTCTAAGCTTTTTTCTCGCGTTAATTCATTTTCTAGCTCTTTCATTTACAAAGTTCAATCAAGTTCTATTAATTTTCAGAAAATGGCATCACCAAACTTCCCTGATTTCACTGCTCTTCCTGAGCTTGGTGAGGAGACATTTTTTGAGGAAGAAATGATGCCTTCCAACCCCACCCCCACTGAACCAGAAAATGCTCTGGTGGATAATGCTTCAGTATACAACGAGGAAGCTAGAGAATGCAGCTGAGGAAAAAGACCGCGAACTTCTCCCGCATGACAGCATTTCACCGAGGAGCCCCGACCAAATCCAAAAATAGGTGAGCTGGAAATTTGTGCAGTATGTAAATATTGTAAAAAGCATTTTTCTAATAAAAATGGTGGGGGTATTGGTCATCTGGATAGACATTGGAAAGTATGTCTACCGTTACACCAAGGTGGGAGTGTGGACTCCCGCCAACAAACACTATCACTCACATCACATGGGTTACAAAATTTTACATACGATGCACAACGTGCTCGTGAGGCACTAGCTAAATTTTTAGCTAGTGCCGAATTGCCTCTTTCTTTTGCAGATGATGCCTCATTCGAAGAATTCATCCAGACAGCCTTTTGCCCACAATTTAAACGGGTAAGTAGAAACACAACTCGTTCTGATTGCATGAAAGTTTTTTATGCAATGAGACAATCTCTTATTGATAATTTTAGGACTTTTAATGCTACTGTGTCTTGCACTTCTGATCTGTGGGAGGGGTGTAATAAAACTGGATATTTATGTGTCACAGCGCACTACGTTGATGACGAATTGGGTTTTACAAAAAAGAATAATTGGTTTTCATTTATGTCTATATCCTCATAACGCAACAACTATTTTTAGTACAATAATGGAAATTTTTGGGTTTTATGGGATAGAAGATAAAGTTTTAACAATTACTTTTGATAATACGTCAACTAATATAGCTGCAATTAA